GATGGTGATGGTTTTGGTGTTATGATGGTGATGGTTTTGATGATGATGATGGTTTTGGTGTTATGATGGTGATGGTTTTGGTGATATGATGATGATGGCCGTGGTGTTATGATGGTGATGGTTTTGGTGATATGATGATGATGATGGTCGTGGTGATATGATGGTGATGGTTTTGGTGATATGATGATGATGATGGTCGTGGTGATATGATGGTGATGGTTTTGGTGATATGATGATGATGATGGTCGTGGTGATATGATGGTGATGGTTTTGGTGATATGATGATGATGATGGTCGTGGTGTTATGATGGTGATGGTTTTGGTGAGATGATGATGATGATGGTCGTGGTGATGGTTTTGGTGATATGATGATGATGGTCGTGGTGTTATGATGGTGATGGTTTTGGTGATATGATGGTGATGGTCGTGGTGTTATGATGGTGATGGTTTGGTGATATGATGATGATGATCATCGTGGTGTTATGATGGTGATGGTTTTGGTGATATGATGATGATGATGGTCATGGTGTTATGATGGTGATGGTTTTGATGATGATGATGATGGTCGTGGTGTTATGATGGTGATGGTTTTTGTGATATGATGATGATGGTCGTGGTGTTATGATGGTGATGGTTTTGGTGTTATGATGGTGATGGTTTTGATGATGATGGTTTTGGTGTTATGATGGTGATGGTTTTGGTGATATGATGATGATGGTCGTGGTGATATGATGGTGATGGTTTTGGTGATATGATGATGATGGTGGTCATGGTGATATGATGGTGATGGTTTTGGTGATATGATGATGATGGTCGTGGTGTTATGATGGTGATGGTTTTGGTGAGGTGATGATGATGGTCGTGGTGATGGTTTTGGTGATATGATGATGATGGTCGTGGTGTTATGATGGTAATGGTTTTGGTGATATGATGATGATGATCGTGGTGTTATGATGGTGATGGTTTTGGTGATATGATGGTGATGGTCGTGGTGTTATGATGGTGATGGTTTTGGTGATATGATGGTGATGGTCGTGGTGTTATGATGGTGATGGTTTTGGTGATATGATGATGATGATGATCGTGGTGTTATGATGGTGATGGTTTTGGTGATATGATGATGATGATGGTCATGGTGTTATGATGGTGATGGTTTTGATGATGATGATGATGGTCGTGGTGTTATGATGGTGATGGTTTTGGTGATATGATGATGGTCGTGGTGTTATGCATGGTTATGGTTTGGTGTTATGATGGTGATGGTTTTTGATGATGATGATGATTGATGGTTTTGGTGTTATGATGGTGATGGTTTTGATGATGGTTTTGGTGTTATGATGGTGATGGTTTTGATGATGATGATGATGGTCGTGGTGTTATGATGGTGATGCTTTTGGTGTTATGATGGTGATGGTGATATGATGATGATGATGGTCCGTGGTGATATGATGGTGAGGGTTTTGGTGAATATGATGATGAGTGGTCATGGTGATATGATGGTGATGGTTTTGGTGATATGATGATGATGGTCTGGTGTTATGATGGTGATGGTTTGGTATGATGATGATGGTCGTGGTGATGGTTTTGGTGATATGATGATGATGGTCGTGGTGTTATGATGGTGATGGTTTTGGTGATATGATGGTGATGGTCGTGGTGTTATGATGGTGATGGTTTTGGTGATATGATGATGATGATCATCGTGGTGTTATGATGGTGATGGTTTTGGTGATATGATGATGATGATGGTCATGGTGTTATGATGGTGATGGTTTTGATGATGATGATGATGGTCGTGGTGTTATGATGGTGATGGTTTTGGTGTTATGATGGTGATGGTTTTGATGATGATGATGGTTTTGGTGTTATGATGGTGATGGTTTTGGTGATATGATGATGATGGCCGTGGTGTTATGATGGTGATGGTTTTGGTGATATGATGATGATGATGATGGTCGTGGTGATATGATGGTGATGGTTTTGGTGATATGATGATGATGATGGTCGTGGTGATATGATGGTGATGGTTTTGGTGATATGATGATGATGATGGTCGTGGTGATATGATGGTGATGGTTTTGGTGATATGATGATGATGATGGTCGTGGTGTTATGATGGTGATGGTTTTGGTGAGATGATGATGATGATGGTCGTGGTGATGGTTTTGGTGATATGATGATGATGGTCGTGGTGTTATGATGGTGATGGTTTTGGTGATATGATGGTGATGGTCGTGGTGTTATGATGGTGATGGTTTTGGTGATATGATGATGATGATCATCGTGGTGTTATGATGGTGATGGTTTTGGTGATATGATGATGATGATGATGGTCATGGTGTTATGATGGTGATGGTTTTGATGATGATGATGATGGTCGTGGTGTTATGATGGTGATGGTTTTTGTGATATGATGATGATGGTCGTGGTGTTATGATGGTGATGGTTTTGGTGTTATGATGGTGATGGTTTTGATGATGATGGTTTTGGTGTTATGATGGTGATGGTTTTGGTGATATGATGATGATGGTCGTGGTGATATGATGGTGATGGTTTTGGTGATATGATGATGATGGTGGTCATGGTGATATGATGGTGATGGTTTTGGTGATATGATGATGATGGTCGTGGTGTTATGATGGTGATGGTTTTGGTGAGGTGATGATGATGGTCGTGGTGATGGTTTTGGTGATATGATGATGATGGTCGTGGTGTTATGATGGTAATGGTTTTGGTGATATGATGATGATGATCGTGGTGTTATGATGGTGATGGTTTTGGTGATATGATGGTGATGGTCGTGGTGTTATGATGGTGATGGTTTTGGTGATATGATGATGATGATGATCGTGGTGTTATGATGGTGATGGTTTTGGTG